GTACTTTGTGGATCCCAATCCAAGCCCAAATTATCACAACCCAACCCGGACCGAACCCAAATTATCATAACTCGACCCGCCTCAAATCCACTCGACAATCTCGTGACCATTTCACAACTAACCTAGCTGGCTTTGCCACATCGCCACCTGTCCCAAAGCCGCAATCACGTGCCACCTCACTGTGTCCACGTCATTCCGGCCTTCTGATGACTTGACTCCACTTAACATTTACTTCTAGAATATACTATATGCGAATATCACATCTGCTCCTTATAGTTTGAATATATTACGCATACTACCCCAATAATTTCTTCTTTTTTTTTTTGTTTGTTTTGTTTATTCAATTATTTCAAGTGTTCTTTACCTGTTTTGCCCTCCGATAAAAATGTATTAGAGCATCTCCAATTGTTTAGAGTATTCATACTAGTAGAGTTTTTGCATAATTTTTTAAATTGTCATGTAGGATAAAGACAAAAATAAAGAGAAAAAGAAAAGAAAAACAAAAAAACGTTTCTGATAAGTTTAAAAAAAAAAAAAAGATTCAACGGTTAAAAGTCAGAGTGGCCGCCTGACACGCCGCTGGAGTGCATGAGTGCGCTACAAACGCGCACTTCACTTTTTGTTTTCTTCTCTCCAACATAGTTTTTGCAAGAGAAAAATATTGCTAAAAACCAAGTCCCGCATAAGTTAAAAAGTAATTGCTCAAATATTTATTATTCTTAAAATCAAGAAAAAATGCATTGTTTTGGTTGCCCTTAGTTTTTGCACAACATTTTAGGAAGTCATCTAGGAGAGAGAGAGAAAAAGAAAAGGAAAAAAAATAAAGAATTTGACAATTTAAAAAAAAAAAAAAAAAAAAAAAAAAAAGAAGAAAGAAAGCAACGGTACAAAGCTAAAAACCAACAGCACAGTGCGCTCCAAACGCGTTCGACTTTTTTTCTTCTCTGGCAAAAAACATGCTTTTGCAAGAAAAACAAAATTGGCAAAAAACCATGCTCCCCTTAAACAAAAATCAATTGCTCAATTTTTTCATGTTCCAAAAACCAATAAAAATTTATTGATGGAGATGTTCTTAGTTACACGAAATCAACATCCTAATTTTAAAATTTTTAAAATTCATTATTTTTATAGCATATATATCGTGGTCCCTAAACTTCATACAATAATACATGATACATATATGAGCACTCTCTATGTCATTTAAGAAAAATGATTATTTTTAAAAATACATTTTTGAGTCTAACATTTCTCCTTAATATTACTAAATTAAAATGATCAACTAAATTAAAAGTTGAATAGTCAAATTATTTTTACTGGTGGAAAGTATTCTTAAGTCAAGGGGTAAAAAAGTAAAAGATGAAAATGGATCAAAATTTAGCATGATTCTTCATTTGATATGCCTAATTGGTATTTGACTAAATTGTTTATAATTTGATATTTTTACATTAATAACTTGTGTGTTAATAAATGCATTTATATAACTATTTAATAAAAGAATATAACTATTTAATAAAACACGCTATGAATACAGAATGTTAAATTTAGAATTTATGATGAATTTCATTTTAAAGATAAATGAACAAAAACATTAATTTGACTTTTTAAACAGTAAATTTTATAAGAAAATAAGATAAGCATTATATAAGTTTTTTGTAATTCAATAATTCGCATAGTTATTTGAAAATATAACATTTTTAGATTAAGAAAAACGATAAGGTTACTTTCAGGCTTTGTTTGGTAGAGCTTATTTAGGAGCTTATAGCTTATTTTAAGCTCCTAATAAGCTATAAGTTCTGTTTGGTAATGTTCACCAAATAAGCTCCTAGCTTCCTAACTTTTTTTTCATCTTTATCCTTATTATTTTAAAGAAATGACATAATTTATCCTTCTCAATTAAAACCTTTTTCTCTTTTCCTTTATCCGCAACTTTTACTGCAAATATTATTATTATTATTACTATTATTATTATTATTATTATTATTATTATTAGAGAAAATTACATTTTTGGTCCTATGACTATAGAGGAGGTGGTAATTTCAGTTCGTGACTTTTAAAACTAACAAATTTAGTCCTTTTAGTACGCTTTTTTTTACACATTAAGTCCTTCCGGCAAAATCACCGGTGAATTTTGGCCGGAAAAACACAATCCCTTAATTTATTAAATATTTGGGGGGTAAAATGGTCAATTCAGATTCTACTTTCTTCTTCCTTCTCCTTCCTACTTCTTCGTTCTTCTTCTTCCTTCTTGTAGAGAGTTGTAGCGGACGGGTTGAAGAGCAGAGGACGGGTTGAAGAACGGCGATCGGAGATTATGGAGGATGGGCCGGCCGACAGAAACCGCACCAAGAAAACCAATTACTACGTTTTCAGGGGGGGGGGGGCTGAATGCGTGGCTACATAGTATACGGGATGTAATGGTGGCTTCGATTTGCATGTATCGGAAGAGAAAATAGAGCAGGAAGAAGAGGAGGAAGATGGCTTTCGCAAGGATTTTGGTTGAGCTTGACTGCTCTGTTGAAGAACATCTACGGAAAAAACGGCATGATAGCTCCCCTGGGAGGGCTTGCAGACCTGGAACCCCCATTGATGCTAAGAATCTGAAAACGTGGACCCCTTTAGCTCTATTTGCACCATAACAACCCCTTGATCTAATTACCCTACTTACACTAGTCCACATAACAGAACCAACAAACAGATTTCTTCCCTCAAAACATTCTACAAAAAAGAATGAAGTAAAGAGCAACTATGCAAAGAAGTCAGCTTTTCACCAAAAACAAATAAACCAAAACTATTCAATTTAATAGATGATTAGATGGAGTAAAATTGAGCATTAAATAAACATAAAGACCAAAATTTTGAACATTTTACATTGAAAGGGATGCAAGTCAGTAGCAATCGGTGGACGATATCGAGAGAGGCCGGTGATGGTGCTGGTACCAGTCCGGTGCTGTATGTTCATCAAGAAGGAAGAAGAAGAACGAAGAAGTAGGAAAGAGAAGGAAGAAGAAGGAAGAAGAAAGTAGAATCTGAATTGACCATTTTACCCCCCAAATATTTAGTAAAATAAGGAATTGTGTTTTTCCGGTCAAAATCCACCGGTGATTTGGCCGGAAAGACTTAATGTGTAAAAAAAATGGTACTAAAAGGACTAAATCTGTTAGTTTTAAAAGTCACGAACTGAAATTACCACCTCCCCTATAGTCATAGGACCAAAAGTGTAATTTTCTCTTATTATTATTATTATTATTATTATGAGATTTGCAACAATATTACTACTTCATATGAGATGCTAGATCATGATTATACTAATAGTTTTATTTCAAAATGTTAATTTTTTTTAAGACAAATTGTTAAATTTTAATATGTAAACAAACTAATTTAAATTTTATGAAGATTCCTTTTTAGTCTTTTTACATTTATCAGCTTATCAAAAAGCTATGTTTACCAAACACTTTCAATCATAACAGCTAGCTTAACAACTCTTCAGTTTTCAGCTCCGAGCTTATAGCTTTTCAGCTTTCAGCTCATAGCTTATAGCTTTTCAGCTAGGTTTGCCAAACAGAGCCTCGTTACTAAAAGTTGTTTTGACAATTTTTTTTTATTGTCAAATCACGTGTATCTCAAATATGTAACAAATTACAATGCATCACATTAATCACATGACAGGTAAATGTCTCAATAACTACAATATTACAATTGTGTGTACCTCAATAAGATATGTAACAAAATTACAATGCACCATATTAATCACAAGACAGGTAAATGTCTCGATAACTACAATGTTACAATTACGTGTACCTCAATAAGATATGTAACAAATTACAATGCATTACATTAATCACAAGACAGGTAAATGTCTCGATGACTACAATGTTACAATCACATGTACATCAATAAGATATGTAACAAATTACAATGCTCCACCACATTAATCACAAGACAGGTAAATGTCTCGATAACTATAATGTTACAATCGTGTGTACCTCAATAAAATATGTAACAAATACAATGCACCACATTAATCACAAGACTGGTAAATGTCTCGATAACTACAATATTACAATCACATACACCTCAATGAGATATCAGATATGTAACAAATTACAATGCCCCACATTAATCACAAGATATGTAAATTTCTCGATAACTACAATGTTACAATCACATATACCTCAATAAAATATGTAACAAATTACAATGCCCCACATTAATCACAAGACAGGTAAATGTCTCAGTAATCACAATGTTACAAGTTTGATTTCCCGTAGAAGCGATCTATTGACTTTTTAATTATTTATCTCGTTGTGATCCATTAATTTGTCAGCACAAAGCGGCGTTTATCAAATACACACATTTGAATAATAATTGTGACATTTTCTCGTAACTATGAAGAAAAAAATTTGTTATTGAAATACTTGTAATATTACTAAAACTAATATTTCAATTCTACCTCTATTTGCATTTGCATATTGTTTTATTTAGGATAAATTTTGTGTAAAACCGTTACACATTTATTACTCCATATAAAAGATACAGAATGAGAATTTTAGGACATTTTTCATTTTCTGCATCTAATTTTTCAAAAAATTATTTTTTGTTAGAGAATTTAACAAAAAAAAATCAAATTCAATTACTTTCAATAAAATATGATTTTTTTTTTCAAAAACAGTGTTTTCTACTTGATAGGTTCTAATTTGAAAAAAATAATAATTATTTATTAATTTATTTCAATACATTGATACAACGTTGAACTGTTGAAGTGAACTAAACGTGCGCAATTTTTTTAATTTTTTTAATTTTTTAAAAATTATATGATGGGTTAAACTGTTTTAAAGTGATATTTAAATGGAAGGAAATGAAGTTTGAATAAAAAAAATAACAGAGGACCAAATTGATATTATTAGAAATCTAAGGGACATACGTGAAATTATCTTTTGAAATTTAATTTCATTTCCGAAATCCGAATGTCCAACGATTATAATAAAATCGATGCCTCCAGATCTGATGGCCATCATTTACCCATATACTCTAGAGAGAGAAAGTGAAGAGAGAGAGAGAGAGAGAGAGAGAGAAGCAGTGACTGAACTGTTGAGAGAAAAGCCTGAGCTTATCACCACTCTAGCTTCTGCAGAGAGAGATACCAATGGGAGAGGTAAAAGATTGAAGAATGGTTTCTATCATTTCTTTCTTCTTCTAAGTTTTCGTTACATTTTTATTTTTTAATTTTGAATTTTTTTGTTTGTTTTGGTGTGTAGGAGGAGAAGAAACCGGCTGAAAAGAAGGAGGACCCACCTAGCGCCGCCGATGGAGGTGAGAAGAAGGCCGAGGGAGAGGCAAAGCCGGCGGAGGAATCCAAAGACGCGCCGCCGCCTCCGCCGCCGCAAGAGATTGTGTTGAGAGTTTTCATGCATTGCGAAGGCTGCGCTCGGAAAGTTCGCCGGAGCCTTAAAGACTTTGATGGTAGTCTTTGTTAAATTAATTTAGATTTATAGCAAAACCACAAGAGAATGAAGAGATCTTTTCTGTTTTTTTTTTTTTTTTTTTTTTTTTTTTTTTTTTTTTTTTTTTAATTTTAATTATAGGAGTTGAAGATGTGGTGACTGATTGTAAGACCCACATGGTTGTGGTGAAAGGGGAAAAGGCAGATCCAGTGAAGGTGTTAGAGAGGGTGCAGAAGAAGAGCCACCGTCAAGTGGAGCTCCTATCACCCATCCCGGCGCCGGCGCCGGCGCCGGAGGAGGAGCCCCCGAAGCCGGCGCCGGAGGAAGTTGCTAAACCGGAGGAGAAAAAAGAGGAGGTTGGTTCATTGGATTTTTATGATTTTTTTTTTTAACATTATTTTATAATAATTTATATATATATATATAAACAAAACAATTTTGGTTGTAGCCTCAGGTGATTACAGTGGTTTTGAAAGCTCACATGCATTGTGAGGCTTGTGCTGAAGCAATCAAAAGGAGGATTTTGAGAATGAAAGGTGATTTCTTTTCTCTCTTTTTTTCTGCCTTTTTGTAATTAATGAAAATTGGCTTTATTTTGAGGTCTTTATCAATTTGCAGGTCTCTTTCATTTGTTATTGTATTTTGATTATGTCTGCTGGTAATTTAATAATAATTGCACTTTTTCACCTGCATATATTTCAAGAAAGAAAGATTTCTTTATTTTTTTTAAAAAAAAATTATGAATTATGACAGAGTAATAATTTTCTCTGATCCATCTTTAACTAGAATAAGATATGCATCGATTAAGATCCAGTTCAAACTCCAGTGCTGATACTTTGCAAGAAAGAATGATTCCTTTTGATTAAAAAAATCAGTAATTATTCTTGTGATATTCTATATCCTCAACCTTTCACTATCTGAACATTGACTAGATTACTAGAATAGTATATTCTTTCTTGGGTGTTCTGTTGAGTTCTCTTGATTGGGATCTAGCAGAGAATTCAAACCCAAATTAGTCATAGGAATCTGGAAATCAATCCATTGGGATTGGGTTTAGGGAAGTTTGTTTGTTGTTGTTGCCTTGTTGGTCTTCATTAACAGAGTTGAGTTTATGCGTGTAGGCGTGGAGAATGTGGAACCCGACTTTAAGGGCTCAGAAGTCACGGTGAAAGGGGTGTTTGATCCGCAGAACCTAGTGGACTATGTAGCGAAGAAGACAGGGAAACGGGCGGTGGTGGTGAAGGTGGAGCCGAAGAAGGAGGAGGGTGCAGGGGAGGGGGAGAAGAAGGCGGAGGAGGAGAAGAAAGCGGAGGAAGGGAAGGATGGTGATGGCGGCGGGGAGAAGAAGGAAGGCGGCGAAAGTGGTGGCGGGGAGAAGAAGGAAGGCGAGGGGGGTGTTGAATTGCCCGAAGACCCAAAACTGGAAATGAAAAAACATGAACTCTACTACTACTACCCCCCTATACAAGCTCAATATCACCATCAAAGGTTTGGTGCACAAGATGGTGGGTATGGCTATGGGTACCCACAGATGCCACAGATGTTCAGTGATGAGAACCCTAATGCATGTTCAGTTATGTAAATTGAATGGAACATGAGAGGGTATGTTAGTCACATGGTGGGGGGTAGTGGGTGGGGGGGGGGGGGGGGAGGGGTCCCTCCATGGACAAAAACTGTGGGGGCCATCTCTTCTTCCTTTGACTGGTTGTGCTCTGCATGTGGCCCTTGTCTGGGGCCTCATTTAGTAGTTTATGTAATGTCTGCAACCAGAAACTGTAGAATTTTTTGTGAGTTTTTATTATCACCTTTTGTCCTTCCTTTGCCTATGATGCTTGTTCCATACTAGAAATAGCCAGAGAAGTAATGTCTTATAGTACTTTGGTACTATGCCATATACTAGATTATGCACCTCCAGTTTTGCATCTTCTCCACTTCCATACTTGCAACTTGCCCATTTTCTTTTTACTTTTTATGATTTCAAGGGCAATTGGAAGATTATACTATGGCACATTGATATATATAGGAAAGGTTCGGGTGCGGGTATGGGGATAGTTTCCTGTGCGGTTGACGCACTTTAAGCATTAAAATGGCGCACCTTAAATACATAAATCACGCACCTTAAGAACAAAAATAAAGTATCTTAAAAATAAAGTATCTTAAGAACACAAACTACGTGCACCTAAAGCTTTAGGCTGATGCACTTTAAGTACACAACTCACGCTGAGTTGTGTGCTTAATGTGAGTAGTTGTTGAAACTTAAGGTGTGTGGTTTTCTTTTTTAAGATGCGTGGTTTTTGTGCTTAAGGTGCGTCGTGTTTCTTCTTCAAATCTAAAACAGAACAGAAGGCGGCAGAGGATAACGGGCACTCCTTGCCCGCACACCCTTCTCCCTTTTGAACTAAAAGGTCTGAGTCACGAGTATTTATTTATAGATACAAAAATTATTAATTGTAACTACAAAAGGTGTTAATCGTAAACACGTCATTTTTAGAATAGAGTACACAATGGAATATAAACCATAGTCTATGGTATAAGAATTGCTAAAGGGTGTTGCTATTTGCACCCCCTTTGACTAAAATAGGGTAAAAAGTACATTGAAAATATAAAAAGTTAAAAATTTATAATAAATACATAGGTGGTGCAAATAGCCTAATGGGTGGTCAAAATGCTATTTGCACCACCTTGTCAAACTTGTAATTAATACTTTGATAATTTAAAATTTAATTAATTAATACATTAAAAAAAAAAAAAAAAAAAAAAGAGAAAGAAGAAGAAGTCCTGTCACCTTCTCCGGTGAGAAGGCAGGGACTGCCTTCTCACCGGAGAAGGCAACTGGGCTGCCTTCTCCGGCGAGAAGGCAACCCAGTGGGTCGCCTTCTCCGGCGAGAAGGCAACCCACTGTGGGTCGCCTTCTCACCGGAGAAGGCAACCCAGGTAGTTTCTACCTGGGTCGCCTTCTCACCCTGAGAAGGCGACCCACTGGGCTGCCTTCTCACCGGAGAAAGCAGCCCAGTTGCCTTCTCCGGTGAGAAGGCACTCCTTCTCACCGGAGAAGGTGACTCGTTAACGAGTTTTTTTTTTTTTTTTTTTAATAATAACCGGAGAAGGAGTGCCTGGGTCGCCTTCTCAGGTGAGAAGGCAGTCCCTACCTTCTCACCGGAGAAGGTGATGGGACTTTTTTTTTTTATTTTTTTAATTAATAATTTGATTGTAAAAAAATATATAAAATAAATATTAATCTTTTGACCACATTAAATGATGGGGTGTAAATAGCATTTTTAGTTAGCACCACCTATAAAGTAGTTTGACCTATTATGTAGGTGGTGCAAATAGTAAAAAGGGGGGTGTGAATAGAATTTCCCTTGCTAAAACTTATTAACCTAATGATTCAAACGGCTAGTCTAAAAATTAGTGAGTTGGCCACTTGGCCTGTTGTCCTAACCGCTCAATGTTACTTTTTGTTTCATGTTTAGAACAAAATATTTAGAGTTTGTACGATAAATTGTTAAATATAATTTTAATAAATTATTATTTATGAACAATAATAATGAAAAATAAAAACTTTTTTATAATTATTTTATTATAAACATCAACAAATTATTTTTTATAGTTTAAAATTTTAATATAAAAATTTTATTTATATAATTGATACAAATGTATATAATAGTTACATTAGATTTTTGAGTTGAGATTTGAAATTAGAGATTTACATCGGTGAAATAATGTTTTAAATGTATATATGTTAATGTAAATGTGTTAATTCATTAAAATTGAAAATTGAAAATATTAATTTTAAAATATAAAAAATTATAAATAAATCTTATGGTAAAGTCTGATAACCTGTGATTTTCGAATTAAGACAAAAACAATTAGATCGATAAAAAATATTAACTCAGAGCGATATTCCCGATACCTTAATGGTTCGAACAAATTGGTCTGGAATCAAGTGAATCGACATAATTGGCATCCTAGGTGCACCATTTTGTATTAATTAAGATGAAAGAGTAATAGAATACTTTTAAAGTCTTCAACTGGGTGGATGGTTGCAATTTGTTAAATTCTATGGTGAGAGCAATAATATATTATTTTTGGGTCACACTTGTGTGAGATCGTCTCACAGATCCTTATTCGTGGGGCGGGTCGAATCGATATGCAAATGTTATACTTTATATCCGCAAATGTCATACTTATATGATCAAACGTAATACTAATCAGGAATAAAAATTTTGTTATAAGGAAAATGTAATACTTTTGAGGAAAAATGTAATATTTTTACATTTTGATGTAAAAGTATTATTTTCATCAAAAAGTATTGCATTTTCCATAATAAGTAATGTTGGTAAGTGCCCCTTACTTATAAGGGAAAATATAATAATTTTAAATTGAAATGTAAAAGTATTAAATTTACCCTTATAAAGTAACAAAAAGTTTATTCCTGATAGTATTACATTTAAGCATATAAGTATGTCATTTGTGCTATAAGTATTACATTTTCATATTGACCCGACCCGACCTATTTCACGGTGAGACGGTCTCACATAAGTTTTTGTCACTATTTTTATTCCGACAACCTTTTCTTTTTAGTAATATTAACCATATTATAAGGTAGTGACCTTGTATCGAGTGCCAACAAATTTCTATCTAAACGATTGGGAAAATGAAAAATTACACTTTTTTCTGAGTTATTTATGTATTCACATTTGTTTTCTCAATTATTTTAAAAGTGACAAGCTTTTCTCTATTTGATGTTAAATTGACATTTTTATCATTAAAATAATTATTTCATTTATTTTTATTCTCCAACAAATTATTGTTTATATGTAGGGATGACTATAATTCGATTTGAACCAAACCAAACACTATAGCAGCCAAACAGAAATAGTAGGATGGTTCTAGCTTATTATGAGTCAAAACCGAAAATAAAATAAAATAATTGTTGAATTTAGATTATTTTAAAAATAAAAATAAAATTTACAAAACTAAATAAATATATTTTGAATCGAAGTTCAAATCGAAACTGGAATCATAATAAATGTGTACAGGAACCGAATAGATTTATAAACATCATTTGTAAATGATAAATCTATTCAATTTCGATTCAAATTTATTCTGATTTCAGTTTCGGTTTGAACTGCCGGTTCAAAATTTATTTATTTATTTATTTATTTATTTTTATAAATTATATTTTCTATTTTAAAATAGTTTAAATTCAACAATTTTTTTTTTCAATTCTGAATTGTAACAAGAACCGTTCTTACTATTTCAGTTCGGTTGCTATACTATCCAGTTCGGTTCAAATCGAACTATGATCATCCTTACATATAAGTAATAATTGTTAGAGAGAAAAAAATAAATAAAATAATTATTTTAAGAGTAAAAATGCTCATTTAATATTAAAGGAGAAAAATCGCCACTTTTAAAATAGATGAAAGAACAAATGTAGATATATAAATAACTTAGGAAAAAAGTAATATAAAATTATAATGGGAAAATGGCACTTTTTCCCTCTGAGTTATATACTTATAGCATTTTTTCCCCCTAAATTATTGATTCCCCCTAAAATGTTAAATGGACATATTTACCCTTAAACTAAATATTTAATTTATTTTTTTCTCCAACAAATTATGACCATAATTTGGTTCAAACTAAACAAACACTATAGCAACCAAACCGAAATATTCCGATTACAATTTAGAATCGAAATTTGATATTTAGAGTTTATTAAAATCGTGAACTGGAACGGACGGTTCATGTTCCGAACTGAAAAAATAAAATACATTTATTGTTGAATTTAGACTATTTTAAAATAAAAAATAAAATTTTAAAATAAAGACGGTTCAAAATCGCGAATCAGATCCGGAACCGCCGGTTCACGGTTCAAGATTCAATTTTTTTGATACATAATTTTAATAAATCGACATTTAAATATTGGGTTCTAGATCTGAATTATAACCGTAAACTATTAATTCGATTGCTTTAGTATCCGATTCAATTCAAACCGAACCGTGGTCATCTCTACGTATACGCAATAATTTGTTGGAGTAGTAAAGTAAATAAAATGTTTACTTTAAGGGTATAAATGTCAATTTAATATATTAGGGAAAAAAAGTACCACTTTTAGAATAATTGAGGGGGCTAATATGCTTACCTAAATAATTGAAGGGAGAAAAGTGCTATAAGTATATAACTCAGGGATAAAAAGTGCCATTTTCCCAATTATAATTGAAGAGAACAAAAATGTCATTTTCCCATTGTGAAAATTGTAAAACATTCTAGAATAAAAGTAGTATCGTTTCGAACTACGAGTATAAGAATATAAGATATTTAACATATCTACATGACACCTGTCCTCTTAATTGTCATTCACTTGAATTTCTGTGGTGGTCAATGTCAATTATTATAACCGACTTCGCGGGTTTCTTTCTCCTTCGTGAAGCTTCTAGGAGGGCTACGAAGGATTATATTAAATATAGAGTTAATACCCAAAATCGTCCTCGACTATAGTGGTTTTTTTTTAATTTCGTCCTAAACGACTTTGGTGACCTAATATTGTCCCAGACTTTTGTGTTTCGCTCAATTTAGTCCAGACTTTTGTGTTTTTGCTCAATTTAGTCCCTCATTTGTTATTCTGTCCATTTGGTGTTAAATAAATAGACAATTCAGTAATTTTAATAATGGCATCTCTTTACTCAAAGACATGTGAACTGCGAAATCCCTTTTTTTTTTTTTTTACGAATTACTCCCAGAATTACTCCTAAAACTGCGAATATAAAATTTGATTTGCAGGTCCGAGAGTAATTCTGGGTGTAATTCGTACAAGAAAGAGGAATTTCACACTTCACAAGTTGAAAGTAAAGAGAGATCAATATTGACATTACTGAATTGTCCCTTTATTTAACACCAATTTGACGAAATAACAAATGGAGGACTAAATTGAGCGAAACACAAAAGTCTGGGACGATATTAGGTCACCAAAGTCGTTTAGGACGAAATTGAGAAAAACCACTATAGTCGAGGACGATTTTGGGTATTAACTCATTAAATATATTATTGTCATGTAGAACATTGAATTTTTTCCATTTTATTTTCACAATTTTTATTAATGACACTTTTAATTCTCAAATTTCATATTTAGGGGTTAGAGAACACAGAGTTTTTCATAAACTACTCGTGTTTATGTTTATTAAGCATTCATTTATGTTTGTTTATGAAGGTAAATGAATATAAATGAACAAATTTTAGAGTTCGGTTCATAAATTAACAGAGTTTGGACAGTTATAAACTCATTTGTTAAGAGTTCGTAAACAAACTCGTTTGTGTTCGTTTAATAATGTTTATGAAATGTTAATGAACAAGCAGGTTAAGCCTATATGTGTGTGTGTGTACGTATGTATGTATGTGATACAATATGTACGGAGGGGTACTCTACGGTACTGTACAGTCCTAGGTTAGTTCCGGTCTTGGATTCTATACATAGTCTTCTTGTTGGTTTAAGTACTTGAGCTCGAGATCCTCTGACAATGGGTGGATAATCTTTGGACATATAGTACTAGTAGCGAAGTAGGTGAAAAAGTCCCCCTCCAAGCAATAAATGCGGTATTTATAGGAGGGGAAATGGGATAAGCCTCAAGCCCTTGGCATAGAGAGCACGAGGTGCTCATGCACAGGCCTAGGTCGGGGCCGAAGGGCTTCTAGGCACGTGTCATGATATTTGTGACGAGACAAAATCACGCCTGTTCTCATTAGCTCAGACCGACCTAACGGGGTCTGTCTTCCCACCAGTCTCTAAGCGACCTGCGGGCTTGCTTAACAGAGAGATCGAATGACCTGGGAGGTTGGGAGACTGATAGACATGGTCGGGTCGTAACCCTTGAAAGGAGAGTACCCGTAACTGACCATCAGATCTACTGTCAGGTAATAATCAGTATCAGTATGTATGTATATATGTATTGTATGCATAATTATTGTATTATTTGTGAACAAAGATTATTTCTTGTTCAGTTCACGAATTAATTGTATTCATGAATATGTTCATATTTAGTGTTGTATTGTTCATTTCACGCCATTTTTTTCCCGCATGGCCGTGCCAATTGAAGGAGTTCAGCGCTATTTTTTATTTTTTCATTTTGATGTTTTAGCTTGTTGGTTGGAGATGGTCTAACCCCTTGCTTCCAATCCTATGAACTAGGATACAAGTGTTTGGAAAGTGGATACCAGAAGCACCAAGATCAAGACATCCTTAAATACCATTTAGTATAACACCCAAAGCCAAAGTCACAACCTAATGAGTAACTAGCGCCAACACAACATGACCTAGTGAGTTGTCTAACCAAGGCCTTATCAAGTATGTTTTTTCTCCTTATTAATTATTTCCCTTATTCTTCAACAATCACTCCTTGTTTTTTGTTTTTTTGTTTTTTGGTTTTTTTTTTTTTTTTTTTGGGGGAGGGGGGGTGGTTTCTCCAACTAACACCAAGTCCATATATTTTCTTTTTCTTATTTCCTCTTTAAATTTCCTTTTTTTTATTAAGAAAAAAAAAAAAAAAAAACAATGGTAGCCCCGCAAAGTAGCTAAGGATGACTCCAAGTCGAATCTCTTTCCCTTACAACCTTATCAATGTAGATTATAGATAAATGTTCATTTTTACATTCTTCTAAAAGGCTGAACCTCAACCCTACAATCATTATTGTGTGGACCATGAACCACACAAGTTGTGTGGACCATATTTGTCTATTATAAAATAATGTACATTCAGTTCAAAAATAATGTATATTCAGTACAAAAATAATGTATATTGTATACAGAGGATATACATTATTTTTGTTCTGAGTGTACATTATATTGTATAATGTACATTCAGTACAAAAATAATGTACATTTAGTATATTAAAAATGTAGTTTTTATTATGGTCCACATAACATTGTGTGGACCATGGTCCATACAATAATTTGCCCCAACCCTAAGGGCCCCCCACACCCCGGCCCGACAGAGCATTTGGGAGGATGTAAATCATGATGACTCAACTGGACATTAATCACAAAGGCTAGACCGGTGCCCATTGCGCACAAGGAGCCTCCCTCACTTTGAGAGGTTGCTCCCACACTGCCGTTGAGATAAATGTTCATTTTTACATTGTATTTATGAAAAGTACATTATTTGAATACTAAAAGTATAATATTTTGTATAATGTACATTCAATATACAAATCATGTATTTTTAGTATATTAAAAATGTACTTTTCATTATGGTCAATATAGCACTGTGTGGATCATTATTTGCTGTATAATGTTTGGTGGATCTCGGGTGCACAATATAATTTGTCAATTGTTATGCCATGGACTCGCGTCCACCTTGCAAGGTGGACCTAGGTCCAAAACGACACAGCTTTGCGCGTCTGGAATAGCGGTGTCGTTAGTGGCACCGTTTCCTCATCAGCCAATGATTTTTTATTTTTATTTTTTATGAATATAGAGTTATGCAATTGTGAATATTGAGATCTAAAATTGTGAATATTCATTTCTAAATTTGTGAATATATAGAGTTCTAAAATTGTGAATATAGAGTTCTAAAATTGTGAATATAGAGTTCAAAAATTATGAATATAGAGTTCTGCAATTGTAAATATTGAGTTCTGTAATTTTGTATATTGAGATCTAAAATTGTGAATATTCAGTTCTCAAATTGTGAATATAGAGTTCAAAAATTATGAATATAGAAGAACAAATTTCGAAGACAAATGGTAAGTTAACAGCAAGAAAGGAAACAATAAAAATAAAAATAAAAATAAAAACCTCAAACGGTATTGTTTTGAAGCAAAATGACTTCGTTTTAGACCCGAGTCCACAACATAATTTGCCATAAGGGAAAATTTCAATTTTGGTCATATGACTATAGGGGCTTTGTTAATTTCAGCACCTGACTTTCAAAAGTGTCAATTTAGTACCTTAACTATGCAATTTTTGTCAATTGTGGTCACTCCGTCCAAATTGCCGGACAAATTTTGCCGGAAAATTTTAATAGTTAAAATAATGAGGGTATTTTGGTCATTTCACACATCTTTTCTTCTTCTTCGGTGAATCCATCTTTTCCACCATTTTTCAGCGAGAACCAGGGTTGAAGCTGCCGCCGTCGCTTCATCCTTGTACAGTTTCTTCGAAGCGTGCTCAGGGTTCGGCGCCTGTCCGATAGTGGCCCAACACCGAACATCGATCAACTTCTTCACACTAGAGGGGAGCTTGATCTCGCAGTACCTGAACGAAGAGCTTGGCTCGGTCATGATCTTCGCTATGGTGCCCCATCCTCGGACTAGTTTTGGGCCTTGATCAGCCGTATCTCGAGGTTGTGATTCAGGGTCCCGCATCATCTTCAACGGCATGGACGACCCTACTTGGGAGCTGACATCGAGAGTGAACGATGAGAGTATCGAAGACGCCGAAGTCGCATCTGTAAAAATAAATTAACACTGGTTCTCGCCGAAAAATGGATTCGCCGAAGAAAAAGAAAAGAGGTGTGAAATGACCAAAATATCCTCATTATTTTAACTATTAAAATTTCTGGCGAAATTTGGCGGGTAATTTCGTCGGAGTGACCAAAATTGATAAAAATACATAGTTAAAGTACTAAATTAACACTTTTAAAAATTATATGCTGAAATTACCTATAGTCGTATGACCAAAATTGAAATTTTCTCTTTGCCATAATTTGTCATTTCCTCTTTTTCCTGCATGATGGGCTGAATCAACAAACTTTGTTCTTGGGCCTTTCAAACAAGTGCAGATCTTTTCAATTCCTTCAAAAAAAAAAAAAGAAAAAATCTAATGGCCCACCACTGATCCACCGCATTCATCGCCAACGCGAAATCGTATGGACAAGGTAGCAAGTAGCAACCCAATCGAAGCGACAGATTGGAACAGTATTCCATGGATGGGGAGAAGAAAATGTTCATGCTCTGATACTGCTCTGACACTTCTCCGCTGTTCTCATTATATTATGTGTTTTCATTTTCATTGTCATTTTTATTCTTTGAGCTAATTGATGACCCAACTGAGTGGGAGAAATTGATGTATGCTGGTTGAGAGAAGAAACCAAGAGATGGGTCGAGGGATCTCAGCTCTACTGCGCCCACGCTACCTTCTCATCTTCCTCCTCGCTTTGGTTCTCATATATTTCGCTTCCTCCTCATTTCACCAGGTTCGATTGTTTTTTTTCCTGGGATCTGATTTTTTTTTTTGTCACTGGGCTATGCTTGATTGGATTATATTTGAAGGGATTTTCTCCAAGTTGTTAAATTTTGCAACTTTCATCCCAATTTTATGACTACATTTGCGAATCAATTTATACACAAAGACATTGGGTCTATCATCTGCTCTGTGCTCTTGACCACAACCGTTAATTGAAAAAGTTGAAATCTTTAAGTTGTTTCTGATTAAAAATTTGAAGTTTTATTCAATTATTAGTTGCCCAGAACTGTAAATTTAGAATGTTCAGTGTCCACTGACAGTTGGGTATGAGCCTATGGAGGTTATTGCTTAGTTTTTTCCTCCACAATCTGCAGTACTTAGGTGTAGGTAGTCATTTCTGCACTTGTTTGGTTAGAAGCTTATGATAATAGCCAAGAACTAGTGTATGGAGAAACTTAAGGAGCAATTAAGCATGCTACTCTTTAGCTAGAGTAGTGATTAAATAATCATTTAGTAGACAAAAGGATTCTACTGGTAGGTTTTCGGTAGTTATGTCTTTGAACATTTCAAGTTATATGCTACATAATTTAGCTATTGAGGACATTCAGTTTCGTATATAATGCAGGATACTCGTTTTGAAAATAGATTGGGAGGAGTCTTAAGTAGATAGTTTATTATGCAGAAACAATGCTAAAAGTTCTTGTATGGTCTTATTTTTCTAATGTTTTGTATTTTTAAGTTGATCATGTGTAAAGGTCTATAAAGAAATGATGAATTGATGACTAATTATGTCACACTTTCTCGTGATCTGAAACATATGTAAAGTTCAATGTTCATTTATTGACAAATATTTTACATTAAGGAATTACTAAGTCTTTGATGTATTTTGATTCTTTTCAGAAAAAATAATATTTCTTCAACTTGTGATATTTTCCCTCAACCCAGTGTTTCACAATATTTCAAAATTTCTTATTTGTCTAGGAGGAAGAAAAGGTGGAGGAGGTGTTTGAAGTCACCCATAGAGTATTTTTGGATGTTGATATAGATAAGCAGCGTGTAGGTATGGACTTTTTTTTTTTTTTTTTTTTTGAATACTATTGACTCTATTACAATGTAGTATCTGTTCATACATACTTTCTCAACCTACTGAAGCACAAAGAGTCGAAGCCCCCACACTGGGGTTCGAACCTGAGACCTCTCATTTGAGGGGTCATAGTTATGCTACCCGACCACAAGGCCTTTGGACTTTTGTGTTGCATTTTTGTTTGTTCTCTTGTACTTACCTTGTAAAGTTGGAAGATGTGCTTAATTGTTCTTGTTTCGATTCAAGCTCTTCAAGTCTACCCCTTTTACATATTTTGGTTGCTCATAAGCTGTGTTTTAGTTAACTGTTATGCAAGATGCCAAGGATCATTAGTCATTGCTAATAATGGCTAATCATTCTCTATACAAAAGTAAGTGGTAGTGGATTATCGAATTATGTCCTTGAACTTTTTCATGTCTTGCAGGAAGAATTGTTATTGGATTATATGGCAAAGTTGTGCCAAAAACAACGGGTATGTCTTCAGGCAGTACCCTTTTTGTTCAGTGTAGTTAGTTTCTTGGTTTTTCTAGTTATATGTTTCTTGTATAGTTGTATAACACCTTACGCTTTCTTTTATGCAGAGAATTTCAGAGCTTTGTGCACAGGTATTTCTTGGATTGCCATGAATTCAAATCTTTCAAAGTTTTCAACTTTTCAGTTGTAAAGACTAATACCAATCTGATCCGTTTGTCTTATTTCAATCAGGGGAGATGGGGAAGACTGCTAATGGTATTACACTTCATTACAAAGGAACACCATTTCATCGCATAATACCTGGGTTCATGATTCAAGGTGGAGATATTGCATATCGTGATGGAAGGGGAAATGATTCCATATATGGTGGTAGCTTTCCTGATGAAAATCTCAAGATTAGGCATTCCCACCCAGGTCATTATCCACCACTATTTGCTAATCTCCTCTCTTTATGTCTATAAGACAAAAAACTAAATTCTTGAAGTTTATTCTTGACAGGTGTCGTTTCCATGGTGAACTTTGGACGTGATTCCAATGGCTGCCAGTTTTTCATAACAACTGTCAAGGCAAGCTGGTAAGGTTCTGGATGTGATTGCAGTATTGCAAGCTAACATTGGTATTGGAATGTAACTTGGGAATAACCATTTGGCTAAAACGTATTAGTCTCTGGAACCTTAAAAGATTTTAGGATATTTAGATAGAGTTAATTCCACCAGATGTCCTTTGTCTTTGGTGGCAATTCCAAATTTAGCCCCAGACTATCATTTTTGCCATTTAACATCGCAGATTATTATGTTTTGGACAATTTTAGTCCTTATGACTTTTCCTATTTTTAGTAAGGGCATTTCTGTCTTTTCAGATTTTTCTTTTGTTATTTTTTCTTGTTTCAACAGGTTTAATTGTTTTAGGACTTTAAGTAACCTCTGATTTCTGGTTGAAACCGGAAAATTAACAAAAGAAAAATATGAAAAGACAAAAATGCCCTTACTAAAAATAGGAAAGGTCATGAGAAGGACTATAAGTGTCCAAAACTTATGTATGGGTGTATGGGTCAATACATATATGATACTATATTGACATTGTCCAGGTTGGATGGGGAGCATGTTGTCTTTGGGAAAGTTATCGAAGGCATGGACACTGTATATGCGGTTGAGGGCGGGGCAGGAACCTACAGCGGAAAACCTAGGAAGAAGGTAATCATCGCTGATTCTGGAGAGATACCTAAGAGCCAATGGGATGAGGATAATCGGAGTTCAACGACGTAAGTATTATACACCAGCGGAGATTGGCTTCACTTTGGGAATGTGATGCCATCTCTTTAGTAGTAAGCTAATTATGAAGTCTAGTATTGGACTCTTTAACCATCAATTTGGGAAGCCATTATTGTTTTTTAATTCTATTCACTAATTGTGTGTATATTTCTGTTTAATGGATTGATATGTTCAAATTCCACTTGAATGACTGATGTTTTCGTTTGAGAGCAGAGAACAGTTTGATATTAACAGCAGAATATGATAAATCACTAGTTTAATTTTATTTTCAAGTTACTGATTTGTGTGCACATTATGTGTTATATTTTGGCTAATTAAAATTTCCAGTGACATTTTTTTAGATATAATATCAAAAAAGGGAATAGAGTCAAATAGACCCTAAACTTTGGGTAAATAAAAAAAATAATAATAATAATTAGTCTCATGAATTTTAAAATGTTGTCATTAAACAAATGAACTTGTTAACCAGTTAACTCTTGGTTACATGACCATTGATCTATTTTTGACCTGAATAAAATAATGAGCCACCTATAAAAATACATGAAACAAAATTCAAAAATCTTAACCCTAACCTAAATTCCCAAATCATGAATCACTTGTGTAGTTGTGTCTCTTCTCTCCTCTCTAATTTCCATGGACTTCTGCAATTGCAAACCCTAACTCTCTCCTCTCTAATTTTCATGGGGTTCTACAATTGCAAACCCTAAATTCCTAATTTCATAAATTTCTTTCCAAGTTGAGTATAAGCTGAGGACGACCATTGTATCATGATAACAAGCTGGACGTTCTTGTTGTTGGGAGTGGAAAATGAGCTTGTTACTAGCAAACATAAGCTTATTGTAGCAGACCAAAGACATTCTTTCACAAACAATGAGGAGTTGTAGGCTTGTAGCAGTCCAAAGTTTGTTGTAGAGAGGTAATAAATCTATACATTTTTCTTGATTGAAGTTTTCTTGTTCGCAAACCTCAAAGTATAGTGTTTTAACGGAATATAGTGTTTTGATAGTTGTTGGGATACTGTAGTAGACCTATTGAGATATAGGTATTGCACATTTGTTAGTAGAGATCTGGGTTTTTGTATATTTGATATGATATGATGGCAGTAGATTTCTTCGAGTAATGTCACTTTTAGATAGCTTTGTGATATAGTAGACGAAAGTTTGTTGTAGAGATGTAATAAATCTATACCTTTTTCTTGACTGAAGCTTTCTTGTTCGCAAACCTCAAAGTATAGTGTTTTAATGGAATATATTGTTTTGATAGTTATTAGCATACTGACATATTGTAGTAGACCTATTGATATATGGGTATTATACATTTGTTAGTAGATATATGGGTATTTGTATATTTGATATGATGACAGTAGATTTTTCCGAATGATGTCACTTTTGGATAGCTTTGTGATATAGGTCACCCATTATGGAGTCAATAATGGAGACAAATTGGGTTGGTGTGGTCTTCTTGAATGCATTTTACTTTGTTGTAGTGCATTTTACAAATTGGTAAAAAAAAAAAATATTAGGGCATTGTATTTAATTACGATTGAGACTTTTGAAGAATAGTATACAGTGTACTTGCAACATTTTTGCTACCACATTGTGTTGTAATTATGATTTAAATTTATGAATGCATTTTAAATGTTAGGTAACTAACTTCTTTTGTGAGGTGTGCAATTAAAATGTTGTTTTATTTACACTTGGAATGCATTCCATGTTGTTTAACATCTCTTTTTTCTACTATACATTTTAACATCTCTTTTTCCATGTTGTTTGTAGAATGCATTCCATAGTATAAATAAGAATACACCATGGCGACAGTTTCGTCCAACATACTATTATGAAATACATAAATAGTGAAGTGGAAAAGGTTTAATTAACTCTGATTATTTATCATATCCGATCCCCACCTATTGAAATTTATTAAAGAGAACCGGTATGATAAAATACAATCTCTTTCATTTAAATTACCCCATGAGCGTATGAAAAATCTATCGTGTTAAATAATGATAGTAGTATACTTCAGCTTGTTGACTTGGGTCGTAATTGGGGTAAAGTTGGCATACTTGTTGAGCATGGAATAGATACTGAGCTAGTTCTAGATTTTGCGTTACCAGAACCTGTACTTGCACTTGCATTAAATATTGTGAAGGCTCAATCAAGATAGCTAGTGAACAAGTTCAATTTGAAAAAGAGGGTGATGAAGATAGAGAAAGAAGTGGTATAGATTAGTTAATTGGTGATGATTTTAAGGGGGTGGTGGCCATTACAATGATGGTGAAGATGATGAATTTGTGGTTGAGGATGATTTGAAAGGGGGTGAAGATGTCTTTGTTGATGTTGAGTGCCATAGTACTACAACTAATGATGATGAGGAAAATGAAGGGCTAGAAGGGGAAGGGTAGAGGTTGAATATGAAGATGTAGGTAGGGATGAGCATGAAAAAATGCAAGTGAGTATTACGACTCTGAAGACCTTCTGAGTTATTAATCGAAAAAAATGAAAATTTAGAAGTATCATTTGAGTAGTTCAATAAGGCAACAACCAGATTCAACAACCTTTCTTATAATATCAATGTTGAGTCAAGTGAGCTTGAAGTGAGTACACTATATGCTGATGTAAACCAATTCAAGAAGGCTGTGATTAATTATGCAATATACTCAAAAGGAATATTCACTTGTTAAGTGTAATATTAGATCTTTATAATTTATATAAAATGGTATTATTAATGCAAACATAGGCGATATTATACAAATATAGCTTATTGAAAAAAAAAAAAAAAAAAAACTGTTTCGTCTTTGCCAGAGACGAAGAAGAAGTCTTCTTCTTTGTCTCCGGCGAAGACAAAGGGGCGACTTCGTCTTGGGCTATCTCCCTGGCCATGGAGATGGCCTGAGACTAGGGGGGTGCATTGTTAAATAATCCTTTATGCGCTATAACTTAAATGCGGAAGCACAATTAACAATGATCGCATGTAAATCAAATCAATCAACTAAACAATGTTCATGATCATGGACTTTTAATTAAATAGGAAAGATATGACTTACTTGGTTCCATTGAAGATGTAATCTCTAAATTGAATGAATCAAGAATATAATGCTTCACCTCTCTGATCCGTATACCTTATTCACCTCCTGATGATACGGAGACTAGAAAACTTAGAGATTTGAAACCGTTAAGATCCCTAGAGTTTTCCTGGGTATTTATAGATGTGATGAGAAACCCTCTTTCAAGAGGAATGGGGAACCTCCTTTAGGAATAGAAATCCCTTTAGGATTGTGAGACCCATAACCTTATCCATTATACATCTTTTAACCCTTATAAACTTAAATTTTAACAGAATGAGAGGGAGGGAATTTCACCCAGTAATTCCGCCTTTACACATCACTAATCATCAACATGAGTACCTTATGGAATTACAACCTTTATTATATAAATCCTTGTTATGAAATAATTATTTCTAACAGTCTCCCACTGATTCATATAAGCATGACACCTTAATTATATGAATCAACGTTAGGAATAAATTATTTCTAACAATCTCCCACTTGATTCATATATGCGTGACTTTACAATTTTCAATCCTTAATTTGAGCTCACTTAATATGAAAATGTAAAAGTCACCACCTTATCGAACTTTATTAACCGAATCATGGCGGTTACAGGCCTGACATAGCGTCCCGCTCCCTTCCATGTATCACAGTTAATAAGAATTCGAACCATAATAATAAGGTAAAATCCGAAAGTACCTTATTCCTTATGTCTTAAACAAGACCATTGTTATCACTTCTGAATTATGCATAAATAAGTGATCAACATCAACCATAACAAAATCAAAACCTGAATAGATATCTAAGAGTATCATCAACCTGATGTGCTATCAAACATAAATCCATACATGTATGGCAGAGTTAACCGTTATACAAGGACTTTACCAGTATGCCCATCCTTCCAACATGGCCAATGAAGGTCGTGGGCGCCAATCCCTTAGTCAACGGATCCGTGATCATAAGATCGGTGCCAATATGCACTATTGATACTCTTTTGATTTTGTACCTTCTCCTTAACAGACAGAAATTTCAAATTCATGTGCTTGGCACCACTAGTATATCTGTCGTTCTTTGAGAAGAACATAGCTGCTGTATTATCATAATGAATCCTCAATGGTTTGGCTATAGTGTCGACAATGCCCAAACCATAAATGAAATTACGCAGCCATGATTATTGAATTGTAGCCTCAAAGCATGCTACAAATTTTGCCTTTATAGTGGAAGTAGCAATGACAGGCTCCTTCACACTCATCCAAGATATTGCTCCATGAGCAAGTGGAAAAAATATATTCGAATGTGGGTTTTCTGGTATCCAAACATCCGGCATAGTCTGAATCCGAATAACCTATAACCTCCAGGTTATTCGTTCCTTTTATAGTTGAGCATGTGGTCCTTAGTGCCTTGTAAGTATCACAGGACCCTCTTTTGCAGTTTTCCAGTTTATATCTTTCTAAAACTTTGTTAATGTGAGTCTTCTAGGATAAACCTAAAATCCCATGTGATCTATCACAGAATATTTCTTATTCCAATCACATATGAAGTCTCACCCATATCCTTCATTTCAAAGTTCTTAGAAAGATATTCCTTAACATCACGCAACATCCTTTTTATTATTAGCAGCAAGAAGAATGTCGTCAACATGTAATACTAGGATTACAAACTTGTTTCTATTAAACCTTTATGTGGATACACCGATCAACAGTGATCTCTACAAAACCAAATGACAATTTCAAGTACCATTGTCTAGAAGCATGTTTTAATCCATAGATCGACATCTTCAATCTACATACCAGATTTTCCTTTCCTGTGGCCATGAAGCCTTGCGGCTAATCCATGTATACTTCCTCTTTTAATTTACCATTCTGAAAGGCAATTTTAACAACCATTTGGTGGAGCTCAAGAACAGAATGAGCCACCAAAACCAAAATAATTCTCAAGAAGAATTATTATCCTGTATGGCTTGGTTAAATGAGACTGGATAATTATCAATGCTCAAGTGCATAAACAATATAGTCATCAGGAATGACTGATCTTTTCTATCTAGTAGATCTCCTTAATGCCACTTCCTGTTGAGATTTCACTTGATCATCATCTTGAGTTTTAACCTCATCTTCATTTACAATAGCTTCCTCATGTGGAATTTGAGCATCTAGCTGCTGTTGTTCCAAAGTATTTCCATAAGGCTACACTGCACTGCAGCAATAGGAACAACAATAGGAAAAAGGATCACTTGATGAATCTGGAACCATCAATGACTCCTTAATCTCAACATTACGAGCTCCCACACTCCCACTGACTTCGCCATTTTAAATGAAGCGAGTATCACCAGACTCAACAATCCTCGTACTTATGATTAGGACAATAAACATGTACCCTTTAGACCTTTCTGGATATCCAATGAAATAACCACTAATGGTTCTGGATTCCAATTTATTTTCATGTGGATTATATATCATCACTCCAGCTTGACAACCCTAAATGTGAAGATGCCTCAAACTAGGTTTCCTTCTTGTCCACAGTTCATAAGGTGTTTAAAAAAAAAAAAAAAACAACCTTACTAGGAACCCTATTGAGTAAGTATGCTGTTGTCTTTAATGCATATATCCACAATGAAACAAGCAATGTACAGTTATTGACCTTACTCCTAACCATATCCCTTAGAGTACGATTTCACCTTTCTTTCACACCATTTTGATGTGGTGTGCCTAGCATTGTGTATTATGCACAAAATGCCCTTAGATTCGAGGAATTTCTTTAAATGGGTCAGGAATTTGCCCAACTTTTGATGTTTTCCCATAATACTCATCACCTTTATATGATCTAATTGTCTTTACCTTTCTATTTAGCTGACTCTCAACTTCAAATATGAAATGTCTCTAGGACATCCACAGACTGAGATCTTTCACGCAGTAAATAGATGTAATAGTACCCAAAATGATCATCAATAAAGGTAATAAAGTATTTATCACCGCCCTAAGACGGAACATCCTAAAAGGACCACAGATATCTGTATGTATTAAATCAAGTAATCATGAGCTTCTTGTGGCTGAGTGTACTGATACATGTCTGACTTGCTTTACCTTTATGCAATCAACACATGCATCATTCCAGTCATTAAAATCCAATTGAGACAAAATTCCAACCTGAATAAGTCTCAATATCCTTTATTTGGATATATGACAAAGCCTTTTATGCCACAAGTCAGCTGAAGATTCTTTTGGCGCACTCCTTTTAACACAAACATCACATTAAACAAGGAATTAACAAAGACATTAAGATTGAAACAGTATAGTGTATCCAACAAAACACCATAACCATAAAGGGTTTTGTTGATACGAACATTTGTCTCCAATCTTAAAGTAAAAACCCAATGTTTCCAACCTAGCTATTGAAACAAGATTTCTAGAACAATTTGGAACATACAAACAATTCTCAAGATCAAGGCAAAAAAACCTGTATCCAGCTTAATTCTGTAAGTTCCAATACCTTCAATTCTAGCTTTCATCATGTTTCCCATGAAAAGAAACTTTTCATTTTCCCTTTGAGGTTGAAACGTAAAAAATCTTACTTAATGTTATAAACATGTGTTGTAGCACCAGTGTCTAACCACCAAGTATTAGAAGGAACCTTAACAAGATTGGATTCAAAGCATACTGAAATTGAATGTATACTTTTATTTCCATCCAAGCTTTCCTCTTCAGGCATTCAACCTTCTTGTGCCCAGGTTTGTTACGGAAATAACATTTCTGCACTTTCTGAACATTACCTTGCACCTTCATAGGATGCTTGACCTTCTTTACTACATTTAGACTTGCTGCTATTATCACTGACAATAAACTGTCACCATTATAGCGTGATACGATAGTGTTCACTGCAAACATTTATCTCACATATCAATTGCTTTGAGTAACAAACCTTTATTCAGACTATAATTTATAGACTTTAAGTTTGCATTTAAATCCGCCTTTGGGTCAAATTTAAATACAATGTCAATTTACTGACATGCATCATTCACACATACTTGAATGAGACTATTCATCAAATTTCAATTTAATATATAGGTCATCTTTGGACATGCACTACATATTAACAAAACGAGAATCATAATCTCCTAAATTGTCATTAATCACATGTCTGATCTACCTTTGGGCAACCGCTAGAACCATGTGTTAATAATCACAAATGTTTATCAATCCTTTAGTGTCATTCAACGATGCAAAATACTTGTGTACAATAAACATTTGTAAACATAAATAATTATTTAGCTATTTCCTTGAGTGGGCCACTTTGGTGACTAACGCACTCGCCTTATGCTAATAATTTATTTATGTGAATAAACTTTAATTTATGTTGCAAACATAAACATAAATGATTATTTAGCTATTACCATGAGTGGGCCGCTTTGACGACTAACACACTCGCCTTATGCTAATAACTCATTTTATGTAAGTAAACCTTAATTTATATATATGTTGTAAACATAAACATAAATGATTATTAGCTATTACCTTGAGTGGACCGCTTTGGCGACTAACGCACTCGCTTTATGCTAATAATTCATTTATAAACATATATATAAACTAATAGTGGATATAACCTCCAACCATAATTGACCCCAAATGAGCCTATAATTTAAAGCAAGTCCTTAATGCCTTAAATAAACCAAATAGGCTCAAATTAAATGGCCAAACAAAATAAACATTAATTTATATGTCGTTCTCATATAACATATAAATTATATACAGTACGAATATCTGCATGACTACAACATATATGTCTGCTATATATAAAAACAGTAAGCATACCAATCAAGATTCCATCCAATTCAATTCCAAAATAACATATGCAAAACTGCCTGATCCCATACACAGTACGTGTCCATAGCAACTAACATAGTAACATATATGTTTTGATGATTTTGAATGGATCGATACAGAAAGCATAAATTTGACGTTACAGTATGCATTCGTACTACTGTTCATAAATTCAACTAAATTCATATTTAGCATATAGATAACAACATCAACAGTCCAGAACATAAAATATATATTCATTATATATTATACGGTGGTAATAACAGATCCACAATTAATAAACCTTATATAATTAAAAAATCCCCAAATATCATGAACCCTAATTTTAGTGATTAATTAATTTACAAGCAGGCTCTGATACTAAATGTTAAATAATCCTTTAT